AGTCAATCTTGCGTTTGGGACCCATTTGTAGCTGAGAGCAGGTAACGCAACTCAATTTGGAGTTCCTGCTGTTGTGTCCACACTCTGCACCTGCCAAGCTACCAAACAAAGATCGCACTGCTGAGCCTTCGCAAGTTCAATCGCAGGCTTTGCTGCCCATACTCGTCGACAAGCTTGCCCAAAGACTGACTGTCCTGCCCAGCGCTATTGTCTTGGTGCAGAAGCACTTGCGATGCAATCTCACTTGCCTACTTTCAATCTCTTCGGAATTGGCCTTTCAAACATTCGGAATTCCCAACACGCCTGACGAGAAGTATTTATTGCACACATGACGGAAACCCTTCTATGTTTGTGTTTTTGCACTTCCGTCCTTTGACCTCAAATACAAAGATAATTACACAAAGATCACAAAGATTGGCATGATCATGTCTACTTGATGTTTCTCTCTTCAAGTCTTGTCAACAACAGCATGACCACACGAAGAGCATACGGTTTCTGGATGGGGATACCGTCAGCCTCCACTTTGCAGCCTGCAGTTGCCTCTGCATTGGGCCGTGCGAAAAACTTGCACCTCTTCAATTTAATCATCCTCATAAAGTTGAACGATAGACTGAGTTAAATTTGTTGATTCAATTTTGACACAATACGTATGAGTCTGCGAGCTTACAAAAATACATAGTGCTAGTAATGCTACATAGGATGCGTAGCACTACCTGCATCATGTGTACTAATTTTCCGGCTCAATATGTACGTGTATAGATGTTTCGCTGCCAAAATAACCGCCCTATGACAAAGCAAACGCATGGCTGATTTGCATTTTTTGTTGGTGAGAGGCTTTTGGGTCATGCGACCAAGCTGCAGCTCATATTGCTGCGCGTCCCCCAGCCCCAAAAGCACAGGAAGAATCCTTGGACAGCTCTGACATGCAATTATATAAATAGATCGAAGTTCATGTGGGGAGGCCAAGATAGCAATAGGATGTGGGAAACTAATTCTCTCTTGGAAGGGATTAAACGTTATCTAGTTTTGGCTTGAGAAGTTGGGATCCTGTATGATCCTGTCGTTTTAGAACAAGATCACCAAGCAAGTCCAGTGCAGCCATGTGTCTCCCGCAGTGATCTGATGGTCATATCACGTGGCAGCTGTTGGGCCTCGCAAAGCTCTGGCAATCCTGTGTATAGAGATGAAGCTCTCAAATCAAATCAAAAGGAATAGCTAAACACAATTCAATTGGTCTTTTAGCCTGTCCGATCTCTGGAATATCCACGGATCAATGCTCCTGCACTACATGTGTTCCTGCAATGCTATCCTTTGATGTCAAATCTGCTCATCGACGCAGTGCCAGTAGCGGGATATATTCGCTAGCATACTTACGAGGGCTACCTTTTGTGGGAGAGCTCAAATGTCCCAGTCATTTCAGAATACGTGCAACTGACCTCAAGGTCACACTTCATCGGTCCTGGACTCTCGGGAAGCAACTTGACCTCAACGCGGCGCAAGGTCTCCTGAATGAAGTCGCGAAGCTCAATACAATTCTTTCTACACGAGGCTCAAAGGCATAACTTTTGCAGAAAGGGCGGACCCCAACTTCTGACCTCTGTGAGTCTGCTCCTGGCTATGGCATGACATTCAATAACTCCTGCCGCTATGGCATGACATTCCCCTCCTCAGCGGGCGAATTGGCCAGAGCTTCTTGATCAGTCCTGCAGGTGGCGGCCAGGACTCGTTGGAGCCATGAGCCTTGACCCAACCGCCTTTGGCTGCCCCCCCCCCCAGGCAGTACCTATATATATATATATACACCTTCTACACGACTCTACATGCCTCTACAATATTTTTGAGATCATCAGTTCTCATCTTATTGAACACAACTCAAAACACCTTCTGGTGCAACTGGGCAAATCTATCGGAGTCGAAAATTGCGTTTCGGATCTTTCCGGATCAGCTTGCAAGCGCGGATCGTGTGTGCCACGTGAAAAGAAAACAGCACAGTAAACGTTAAACACATTCCATGGTGCCGTTCCCAGCAGTCGTGAGGTTCAAGAAGTTCAGCTGTGAAAAGGTGCGGAAGACTGAAGCCGCTGCAGCTGGCAGATCCGATGGAAGAGAGAATGCTGGCTGATGTGCTGCGTTGTGCTCTTTCATGCTCTTTCCAACATCAGCCCTTCAAATCCAAACTATCCAAGGCAGAGATTTTGACAGACTTGCAGGTACTTTTTATTCAAACGCATGTTTCTGTCTTCTTTTCAAAACCCGAAAGATCAGATTTGGGTCGACAGGGACATGCTCCAGCCTGCTCAAAGATACTGTATCTTAATCTTATTCAATTCGAGCTGAATCTAGAAGGCAAAGCAACTTTACACACTGAGCACAGGATCCTTCTTGGAAATTCTGACGTTTCTCGAAGCCTTTGCAAATGATAACAGTCGTGGGCTGCAAACAAGCATCAAAGAAACCATCAGGATAAAACGCCAAACACTATGTGTATCCAACTTTCCGTGTGGGGCAGCTTTTTGTGTTTATGCTCTTCCAACTGGCTATTCAAACTTCTCCCACCTCCTGTTTCATGAAGCGAGCGAACCTGAATCGCATACAATGGCTGGGAAGGAAATGCCCAATCAAACAATGTGTACATTATAAAAAACATACATATATATATATATTAATATATGATACTATATACTTATATATGTCACCACTTGGCCGTGCAGCGCACACTTGTTGCAGCATAGTTCTGGGAGACGTGTTTCTGTCAGTCTTGGCCTCTGCCTTAGGTTTGATGTACTCACGGATAGTGCCTCTTGATCGTCTCCGTGACATGCATGTCCATGCATGTGCGTTCACCTTCTGGATCTGGTTCTCTGTGTCATCATGGAGATGGTAGTAGTGGCCGCTGTGATTGTCATCCTAGCTCTAGCTTCTTTAGTGGTCCTGGTACTTCTAGCCAATAAGAACCCAAGGCTCAGCGGTTTTCGTTCCATTTCTGATCCGGGCTTTCGTTTGCAAACATCATCAAACATCATCGTAGTTCTCCCCCATGGCATCACCCAAAACTTCGGGGAGACACCAGGACAAACATCCACTCTGCACCCCTTCCGGACTCCAATCACTCCTGGAAGCTCCGTAGCACAAATGAAGAACGCTGTATTGCTTTCGGAAATTTATTGAACAAACCCTTCCAAGAGAACAAAACGGTACGAGTCAGTGTGTGTCCCTTGTCCCATAGTACAATCATGAGTCATTTGCTGGCTTTGAATACTTTTGATACCGTGGGTCATGAGCCCTTTCCTTTCCTTTCCTTCGAACTAGCTCTCCACTCGACATGGGTCCAAGGTGGCGACCCAAGAAGGCACTGCTCGTGCTCCCAGGCGTTTGGACAATTCCTGGCGTGAAACAACTCACCAAACCTTTTGGTTGGTTGGTTGGTAGATGTTGGTCCGGTGATTTCAGAGAGGTGCATGAGACTTGGAGAAATGCCATGCCAATCCACAGTCACGCATGCACCGGAGTATGCTGACACCGCCGTTTTGTCAAAACAGTGTCAGCCAAGCCAAATAGGAAAGGGATAGACAAGCAGCAGCTGCTTCCAAAACAGCGTTCTTGAATCTTAAATATATCCATGTGTTTGTGGGCAAGCTTCACGAGAGAATATACAGGATTACAAGAACACTCTTTGCACTGCTTGACACTTGGTTCAGATTGGTCGTACGCCTTCACTCAGGGCTACTGCTCTGGGAAGCAAGCTGGCTGTGTACCTTGTGTCGTTTATTCAGGAAACTGACGGATCAACGCGCCCAAATCTCCATTTCGATTCATTTCAACCACAGTAGTTACTGGATGCTAGTATACATCCAGGCAGTTTTTGAACGTGGCAGGAAGGCATCACAGAAGTGGATGCAGTTGCAGTGGATCAGGTCATACCTGTCCAACTGATGCTTGGAGAGGATCACTCAGGCAACTGCCAACACAAACACATGTCCGTAGGCATCGACCCACCATCTTCCGATTTTCCGAAGTGGTCTTAAAGCAGGTGTTCTTCCTCAAGCAGCTTGGTAACCTCGAATGCTAATCTTTTGGAGTCACCGCCCGCTTGCCAGTTACAATGGAGCATCTTGACACCTTCAAGTCTTCTGTCGGCATTTCAGTCAGCATCTACCGGAGACCTTGTTGAACCCGCGAGACTTCGTTGAACCCGCGAGACTTAGTCCAAGCTGAACCCCCAAAAACACCCAGGGATCCGAGTGTCGATTTGTCCGAGCCGTGAACGACGCACCGTGGCACCACGGCCCACGAAACGGCCTGCCACCAGGCCAGGCTTTGGCAATCTCCGTCTTCATGATGCGGATGGTCTCCGCCTCCTGGTGTGGAGTTGACCGTGTCCCACGGTCCGGAGTGGGATGCGTGTAAAGCTCGGCAAACAACATCAAACAACCAGAAGTGAGCTTGTGTCATTTTGAACATTGAATGAGGGGACATCTGGCTATCCTCATCAGGAGCAAATCCTTGGCTTCATGGTGCACTTCTCTGGTTAAATAGAGAAGAACACAATTTATTCATATTCATTCCACAGACAGTGTGGGCACACTAGGGGTTCTTACGGTGGTGGTTAAGGCCGGGTGTCTGATCGGAGCTTCCCACATTGATTCCGTGTACTCGCACCAAGCATTGCTCCGCACCAAGCGACTGAGGCGACCGATGTCTTTTGGGGCGCGTCCTTCGATCAATCGTCACCCGAGACCCGCAGAAGGAGCAGGGCGATTTGGACTGAGCTGGTCCAACCCCAAAGGGTCTCCAAGGTGTCACCTCCAAGGTGTCTCCACACGAGGGTCGGTCAAACAGCAGCTTTCTAAGACACCAAGAACGCTTCCGTTCGGGACACTTAGGTAAACCGTGGTAAACCAATCCGGAACCAGGAGGACCACACCCTTTTTGTGACCCTCGTGGCGCACAGTCTTTGCTTGTGACTGGCAGACTCTTTGCAGCGCCATTGTCAGTTCCACTCAAATGTGAGGATCCTGAGCATCTTCGTCGAAGCGACCGGAGGAGTCATGAAACATCTGAACGAGACATTTTCACGAGCGACTGCAATATGTGTGCACTGAAGGCTACTGAAGTGGCAAGGGACAGTGACCAAGTCTTCTAGGAGATTGGTCTTTTGAGGGTCCATCAATTTTCTAAGAAATCTACAGGGAACCAGGCATTTTGTAGCTACAAGGAAACGCTTTGCAAATGAACCACACTTGCCTTCTTCTTTTGGCATCGCAAGCCTGGAAATAGCTATCCCCACACCCTGCATCATGAAACGCGAAGCTGAATCTTTGGCAGGACCCAAATTCAGGGTTACAAGATTTCTGACCACAACCTAAATCGAGTCATAGACAATAAGCCACCAACCTTTTGCAAAGCACCCCCGTCACACAATGCAGCCCAGCAACGACGGTTTTGGCAAGGCCTGGTCCTGGGAGTTCGGCGGATCAAGACTGTTTCATTTCAAGCGCAACATCAGCCGTCCGTGATAAAACATCCTACCCTCCCAAAGGCTTTTGGCATGGACTACCAGCCTTGGTGGCAAAGAATTCTATATACAGACTCTCAACCAGGCGCAGATCTCAACCAAGCTTTAAGACTTGGGATCTCAAAGTCAAAAGATGTTGTCCAGCCCACCCCCTCTGCGCACGCGGTGTCAAGGTCCCGGCCTGGGTTGACCTCCCGCAGATCTGGGACAAAGGTTCCTGGAGAGCCACCAAGCCCAGCCCAGCCATGGAAGTACTCAATCCTTCAAACAACATACAAACCCAGCGGGGTTTTAACGACTTTTGGCAATCCTGTTGTCTATTTCTGAAACAGGTCTTGGCACCGACCTACAAAAGGAATATGCATCCAACCCACAAAAGGAAGCTGTCTCCTTTACTGCAAGGGCGAAATCGGATATCTTCGGAGAACTCTGACTTGTCTTGTCCCAAATCCCTATGTTGTGGAAGAACACAAACTTATATAAATCATGAATCTGTTTGCAAACTTGTGTGAGAAGGGACCTTGGATCGGTTTGCTAGAGATCTTCTGGAGGAGCTTCACGAAAATAACACTTCAGCCCCGACAGGTCCAGAGTCCACTCATTTACATCGCCTCTTAAATGCAGCACTAGCTATATGCAGTTCAAGCATTGGATCTTCTCATGTGGTCTTCATCTTTAGCAAGACCCTAAGAAATCAATAGCTAGAAGTGACAGAACAAAGAAACATTACAATACTAAACACAACGGACACTCCTGGCAGTGCAGTTGTCTTCTCAAATATGTCTTAGTTCTGAAGTCCCTTTGCGATTGAAAGAGAAACCACGCTGTCAGGCATTCCCGCAGGGCATTCTGTTGAAAACCCTTCAGGACCCCCAAAAAGATACGTGTGTTTTCGGAAGTCTGTCCCCTGGGGGAAGGGTTCAGTCAAGACTCTGGAAAGCATGTCTTTTTCCTGTTAATATTGTTGTTTTTATCTACTTCTTGACCTTCTTCTTCTTCTTCTCTTTCTTTTCTTCTTCGTAGAAGAAGACTGAATTTCCAATTCAGCTTGATCTCTAGCTTGCTAGGGATCGAGTTTACCAGAGTCCAGTTTGACTCCAGTCCACAATGTTTACTATATAAGTCTACTTTACCTGAGATCAAGTTTCCCTAGAGGAGAGATGAAGATGAAAAACAGAGCACGTTACGTTTGCCAGAGCTCTAGTTTAACACAGACCTGGTTGGCCATCAGGCTTATCGTCCCCTGGTGGAAGTGTTCGGCATTTTATTTACCGGATATATACTTTGCCACATTATAGAAATCCAACTCACCAAAGATCTAGTTTGGCAAAGATCCAGTTCGCCAGAGATCTTTTTACTGTAACTAGGAATCAGGACGGTCGCTTACCACAGATCTAGTGCACCATCCGGTGAACCAAAGGTCTGCTTTACTGTCTAGTGTACGAGTAGCAGCCACCTATCTCACCAAAATTATACTTTACCAAAGATCTAGCTTGGCAGAGACCCCCTGAACCCAGAATTCCATTGGATCAAGGATCAGGGGATCAGGATGGCGAAGAGATCTACAGTAGTTTACCATGACTCTTTCTTACTAGAGATCTAGTTTATTATCTGTTTTTCAATTATCTAGTGTACCAAAGGTTTACCATCAAGTTCAGCAGCGACCTAGTTGCTTTGCGCTTCTGCAAAAGCTCTTGCTTGGGTTCCTTGTAATTTAGTAGCAAAAACTGTCAACATCCAAAAGATCAAAAGACTCCCAAGGCGTTCTTTTTTCATACATGTTCCAAAGCGACAAAAGTTCAATAACTGCTGTTCTGCTCCATACACGTGTATTTGAACACCTTGCAACGACAAACTGAACCGAAAAGGGGCCCCGACGTTGGCCGAGGGCACCCTGGGCAGGTGCCGCCAGATGCGGGGTGAGCCTCATGCGGTGACAGCGAGCGAAAGCAATAGGAGACCAACGACAGAGACAAGAAATAGCTTGGCCAAGTTGGTTGGGTGATGTTTGATATTTTAGGAAATATCATGGCAATGTTTAGCGGTAAACAAATGATATCCAAATGAGATGCTGTGGATTTGTTTGTAAATGGGTTTGACATCGTTTCACGGGTTTCTTCGGTTGACGATAACTGTTCTTCAAAGAAGATTGCAAAGCTCACATCAGGTGAGGTTCGTGCTTAATCCAGTCTGAAGAACTCTCAAACAACACCTGATGCATGGATTTGTGCCAGCTGCTCGGATCATGGACCATGCCAACCAGCACTGCCAAGTCTTTTGGTGCCAAGTTCTGTTTTTTGCTGCAAGGCTATGAGGCCATCGACCCCAAATTAGTTAAAACGTCTTTGGAATCCCGATTCACACCCTTGGGATCCCTTGGGAAACCGGCCAATCCACCGTCGAGATCACGGCCACCGAAACACCTTCGGCGGCTGCAGGGAACAGTTGAAACGATCGTCAAACATTGACATCGGATTCTGCAGTTAATCCGGAAAAAAAAACATACACATTCATCGACATTCATCGACCTTCATCGACTCGCGACTCAACTCACGAACAACGACGAACAACTTTTGGAACATGACACCCAAGAAAGGGGTACCCCATGGTACCCCCTCAAACAAGGGAAGAACACACAGCTACTTGATACCTAGTATTTTTTGGGCTTCTGGGATGGTACGCAACAAAATTCAGCTTGAGGACAGAGCTATATTCAAGGTTACTCTGCTATGCACTTGCCGAGCTGAAGGGAAGCCAATTGTAATGGAGCAGTTGGACACATTCAGGTTCGTTTAGGACATATATATATATATATATCATATAATATAACATAATATAACTACTCAAAGCCTGAACAAATTTCGGTGCAAAGATGGAACCAAGTCTAGAGCTCCGTTTCAGCACATCCTAATGTGGGACAGTCCAGTACATGGAGCTGGTATGGGTTCAGTTCTCCAAATCAAAAATTCAGGCATAGCGCGTTAGTGCTGCGGTATCCACGGTTGACGAAACATGTTCCATCTGAGCTCGCCCGACCAAAGGCAATGAGCAGGAGTTCAAGCCAGTTCGCAGAGGAGATCCAAGACCTTGAGAGTCGTTACTCAAAGACGCAGAGTCACAGCGCAGCGAGCAACTGGGCATGGCGATCGACAAAGATCCACCATGTTTCAATCCGGGAAATTGATGCCCAAACATGTCCCTCATGACTTCAAACAAGCTGATTCAACTGACCAGCATTGAAGAGTATAGAATCCTTGTGCTCTCCTGCACTCCCCAGGCACTGACCAGCTTTTGTATCTTTCCGCTTTCGGCTCGTTGCCGTGTCGTACTGCATCGTCCAAACACAAGACCAAGACATGGGAGGCTTACGACAAGCTCACAAACACAAAAGTCTAGGACTCTAGGAATGGCTTTTAAAAAGCAGCGGTCTGGGTGTCTAGAAGTCTAACATTGCACCAGTAACCATGAGCCTCCCACGTACCCTCCACATCTCTCTCTCTCACACTCTCTTATCTATGTGCCAAACGGATCGAAAGGGCTACATGAAATGGTTTCTGCAGAGTACTGCTTTTCCATCTGACGTCAAACAGCCCGACGTAGCCCAACAAAGAACATGTCAGACTTCCAGTTGCTTTTCTGTGAACAAGACTTTAGTTCCGAAGTCGACAAACATCGCAGGGGCTAATGAATAGTGGCCAATAGCACAGGCTAATACTAGCAAAGATCCTACACACCTACATATGTAGCAATCTGCAATTCCAACCTGGAAACACTAGCAGTCCGCAATGCAACCGCTAGCTTTCGAGCACCCATTTGGAGCCTCACAGTCTTGACACTGCCAGTGTCCTGAGGTCAACGCACTCCCTCCTGGCGACGTTTCACTAAGAGTCGTGATGCGACAATGCCGCTCAGTCGTGTGTGTCCTTTTGTTCCAAACTTGAAAAAGCATGAAAAAGGAAGCACGTTGCAAGTTACAGGGCAGCAACCCCAAAACCACCTCTGACAACCTATGACAACATTGGACACACAGGAGAAACATCACCTGAAGTTGATATCCTTCACTCTAGAAGACCCCCTTTTGGCCCAACGCCCCTCCTGACGTCTACGAAGTTCGATCAAGAAGGAGCAGGGCAGGATGAAAGCCAATGCCTTAAATCATCCAAGCTGTCTTTCTTGTACTTTCTTGTACAACTGCTCACCACCGTGTCTCCACCTTGTCTAGTTTGCTAAGCCTTTGCCTGAATGCTCTAGAAATATCTGGGCATCTGCGGACTCTGAACCGCGAGAAGGACTCTACCAAGGAACTTAGCACCGAAAGCATTTGCTTTTGAAACCAAAGCATCTCTTTTAGGTTGAGGATCCAAGGTCCAGGCCATTGTCGCCCAAACCTCAAGTTTGAAGGCACCCACGGCGCTTTGTCCCTTACCCAGGACGACTGTGCCGCGATGCATCAGCAGTATACTTTGTAGAACAATAATTACTTTATAGAACAATAATAACTAATCATTATAGTATACATTTATACATAGCTCTCTGTCTTCGACTGTGCATCGGGTTTAAATAAGCGGGAATCACAAGTTGCCCTGTCCCACTTCTCACTAGAAAGTACTTGGCCTCACTCTTTTCATCTCTTTTCCGATTTGGTCCCTATGCTGTCATGCTGTCTGGCCCGTAGTTTGTGGTGGGACCTACCGTCGGACCATGGACCTGCAGGTAGGGCCTCCACAGAGTTTGGAAAACTGAAGGTTCAAATGTCCCATCTCTTCAGCTCTGAAGTCAAACTGATCTTTCTCCGGGCTGATCTCAAACGTCAAGGACCGGACTAAGGACCTCTCAAAGAAAACCATCGGACTTCAGGGTCTCCCGAGCCCCGACGAACTTCAGGACTTCCGAGAGGTCGGTGCAGATCCATGCAACCAAAGCACCTGATGAAGCGAAGTGGTGATGTTCTTACTCAAAGCTCAACATCGTGCTATATATATTATATATACAGTATATAAATGGGTAATGAATGGTAATGATTGCATATATTGTGGTACTATTGATGCATTGATGCATGATGTGAACTCATGTAACGTCGAAGATCGTCGATGCATCTTCGGTACCCTGTGTCACATCTTCGGTTCATTTCGCTTCCATCACTCTGAGGCACTCTGCTCATCTCCTCTGTATTCAAACATCTCTGCACGTCAGCATAAGTGGAGGGAATTCAAGATAGGGGTGTGAAAGCATGTAGCATCATGTAGATATGTGTATCAACCGACAACTTGCCAAGCAAACATCCGGTGATTCATTGACGTAAACCTAACGGACTGAGAATGTGACAAATACCCAGGATTCCAGCTGTCAGCGAAAAGAATCGCTCCTGCACTGCAGCATCAAAAGTGCGGGTTTTCCCTCTCTATATAGCCGGTTGGCCACCTGAAACATGAAAAATATCTTTGTCGCCCCAACTTCGAAGTGTTCATTGGTTGAACCAATAAAATATGCCCGTTTCCATCTCCGTATATTGAACCAATGTTTGGCGGTAAATCACATGCAGTCCACTTCGTTTCAAGATGTAACTCGAGCGAAGAAAGTTGCACCGCTGGCAGCTGACAAAGTGGCGGCTCCTTTGGCAAGGTATCCTGAGGTGCACCGCTGTCCCTTCGCCCTTGGCAGGTGCAGCCCCCGGTGCTGTCCGTCTCCGGTCGTCCTCGGGCATGTCCTCGTGCTACCTACCATGCTATCCAACGCATGACCGGCCATGGCCCTCTGTCATCCCAAGAGTGAAACTGCTGAGCTCCCCCACTCAACGCAAACACGTCCAAGGCAGCAAGTCTGCACGGAACCATGATGAAGGCAAAGGAGCAAACGACCACCTCAAGAAGCTCATGGCGAGGGTGGTTGATCTATATAATTTCCTCCTTACGAAAACCTAGGCCTTGTGATCAATGAACCAAGGCCTTATGTCGACCTTTTGTGTCATACAAGTATGTCCTTCTTTACATCTTTTTACACCGTTCGTGGAGCCCATTGATCAGATTGTGGGATCAAGGCTTCCCTGCAATACTTTGGCGCATGAGCCAAAGTAAAGCCGTGAAACACGGGACAGTGATGCTGTTCGTCCGACAGCGGCCATCGCCAAGTGGCAAAGGCGTAGGACACCCAGGAGGCCATCAAGGGCCAATACCTGGGACGCCATGGACGATGAGGGTACCCACTCAAACGAACACAACACTTCCATGACGGGCCTGGGACGAACATCGTTCGTCTCCCAAACAAGGAACAAACCCACTTGGTGGATCTGAAACTGGTACTTCTATGGACAAGGTCCCTGTCACTTTCTCCTACTGCTAGTGTGATGTCTTGCACAAGACATTGCCGAGATGGGTCATGCCTTCCAATCATCCAACATGGGGATCCCAAGATGTGCACCTGGAAACTTGGGTTACAGGCACAATTTGGTATGTAAAATGCAATCGAGGAAAAGACTTCATTGAAGATCGACTCTTGTCAGGGTACTACTAGGAACAAGGACGCTACTAGGGGCTCCTGGCATCGCTACTAGGAGCAAAGAAACTACTAGTGGCTCCTGGCCTTACTACTAGGAGCAAGGACGCTACTAGGAACAAGTGCATTGCTTCTAGTAACAAGTGCCTTACTAGTAGTAACAAGGACGCTAGTAGGAGCAAGGACGCTACGGGTATGGTCTCTTGCCCCCTGAAGGATCGATTTGCATCCTCCGGTCGCTTCCGAAAGCGGCAGATCCAGCGGCGCACGAGGTGGTGGGGCTGAAGTCTAAGAGGACATTTCCAGCCACCCGGTCCCCGAAGCGGAGGTAGGCCGCCTCAGGTAGGGACTGCTTGGGCAAGGAAGGCAAGCTTGGACTTTTGGGTTTGTAGTAAGGACAAGCTACAAGTAGCAGTGGTTACTGTAGTTCAAGGCAAGGCAGTTATGTGAGGTCTTCAAGTAAAGCACATGAGCAGAGAAAGGTGCGAGAAAGCTATCCTCCGCTGCAGATCTGAGTGCTTTGCCGTTCCTAAAGTGGCAGACAGGAGCAGGGCAATGGTGTAGGCAACCTTCCGCTGGATGGATTCACCACTTTTCCAACCCGGGTGAGTCTCCAAGACTTCTGTGGCTGACAGACGACTGATCGATCGTCGGACTGATCAATGCGATCCTGTTCAGTTTGTCTTCTAGTCAAGAGGTACTGTATTTCATGGTATTTCAGGGGGCTCCTAATCAAGACCACACTGGCCATTATAGCTGGTACAAGAGAAGCACTTCTGCAAGGCTCTGGGGAAGTATTGCAGAACATCTGCATGGCACATCTTCCAACTAACTACAAGCCAACGATGTGGCTTCCACTGAAGCCAGCAAAGAAACTAGCCAAACCGTTTTTTGCCTCACGATTTTGGAGCAAAAGAAAGCATGCAGAAGCTGCTTGGATCAACAGGACGGAATAGCAAACTCAAAGCTATCTGGCATTACAAGCAGCCGTTTCCGAAATCCTTGATCTTCATCCTGGATCTTCACTGTCATCATTCAAGAAGGCCTTTTGGGGATTCTGACATGGTATGTAAATTTGAACCACACCACAATGCCCCCTTGTGCAGCTCAACCGATATCAACGGGCACAAGAAGACTTATTGAAATTGATCATCGCATTCCACTGAATGGGCTTGCTTTAAACAATGGATTAACCAGTAGGTTTGAGTCAATCTTCAATCTTCCTTTTACCAATGCTTTGTGGAGATCCACGTCAGGGTATGTGTAAACTCATAGGCTGGATCCAGCCTCGGTGATGGATTCTGCTGCCAGCAAGGAGCTCATGGATGCTGGTGCCTCCTAGCACCAGTTCAAACAGAACCACTCTGGATATCCCTTGAAGGCATCCCCAAAGAGTTAGTTGGTCCCTGAACCCTGCGATTTCATGGATTCAATGGTGATTGTGATTGTGTCATTTGTGACTTGCGTTACTTGCATACGATCCGGAACGGGACATGTGAGCTGCGGAGTTCCGACCCACTCTTCGAGTCATTTGACCAAATGAAAAGCATTGGGTGACGGCATTGGACCGATCCAAACATCACAGCGAATCGGGCTGAGTCGACCGAAGGCTCTGTTCGAGTCGACCGGGTGCTCTGAGAGTCGGCCACTGTGAAGCCGTCCTGAGCCTCTTGCTGTTCTGAGTCCAAACGGCTGAGAACCTGTGAAGCTTCAACACAAAACACACGACATACGAACATGTTTGTTCTCGTTATATAGATGACACATAATAACACATATGTGTCCTTTAACATGTGCAAGCACTCGTGTGACAAGATTTGAGAAATGGACACTTCAAAGAAGCAAAATCAGTTGCCAAAGGTCGTTTGTGGAATTTTAGAAGCATGATCTATCACAGTACAAGGGAATTCTTCCAAGCACATCCATTCTAATTGATGAATCTTAATTATATATTCTAATTCAGAACCCAACAGACCATAGGCGAAGGAAGCCATCCGTGCCCCATCAGCTGCCTCAATTCCACCAGCCTGCACTGAGAATTGAAGGGAAAAAAGAGCCGCTCCTGGCGCTGCGAAAACCGTGCCGTCCAATGTCCAAAGAACTTGAAGCAGTCATGTCATGCCCCATTCCTGGCAGATACGAAGCAAGCAGCGCAAGCAACATGCAGTGATATCAGCACGGCTCGTACGGTGCACCTGAGAAGAATCTCCCAATGTCACCTCGGAAGAGATCTACATCTCCTGAGGGTGAGATGTGGAAAGAATGCACCAACTCATGTTCAGCAAGTCTTCTGAAATGGGTGGTGTACTTGCTTGACACTCGACCACTTTGCTTGTTGTTTTACAAGCTGACGTCAATTAGGAGAATAGCATTTGCTAGTTGGAGATTGCTGATTTTGCGGGGCAGCTGTCGTGTGAGGAATATCGCAGCAACCAATGATTGTAAGACAGAGCACCTTATTTTGGTGCAAAGCACCTCTCGTGAGAGTTCAACAAAGTTCAATTGTGGTCCGAAGCTCTGGCCGTGCATCTGCTTTGTGCTGACTGCAGCAACATACTCTCATTCTCTATCCTTCTCCGCCATCTTTTCTTGATACCCGCCTCAAAAGGTAAACCATCTCGTCTTCTGCACTTTCTGGAGCCATTGCACAAGCATTTATCTTCAGTTGAAAGACTCACGAGTGGGATGACCGTCTCCCCATCCGAAGATGGGCAATTGTCATGGCACTTGTCATCCCGTCTCCTGGTCTCCCAGGTGTCTCAATGGGGGCGTTCACCAGGTCTTCAGACAAGACATCGCCTTAGACAGATCGGAGAAAAGTCACCAAAGAGGTTCGAGCTCTCCCCTTGAGCTGCAAAGAATCCTCGTCATGAGCTTTGGCGAAATGCAGCTTGCAATATCTTGCAATAGATTGACTTCAAATGGTTTGGCTTCAAATTGTTGTCCCCTGCATCGATTGAAGGCAAAGAACAAACATCATCACCATCCTCCGCGGAAAACCCAAATGCTGCACATACCTGCGCCCTCACTTCAACCAAAGACTCTGCCACCGTGCTTCTTGTTCCTACCAAATGGACTGGGCAGTTGCTACAGCAATCGAATGTCATCGACAGTGACACCTGTGGCAGCATGAACATCCATGGGGAAGACCGCCCAGTGCAGCCGTGTGGCTCACCGAGACTGTGGTCAGGACCACCTGGGCAGCTCACCAGGTCGAGTAAAATACGAGGCTCTGTGGGGACCCTCAAAGGGAGGCTCTGTGGACTCTCACATGGTTGCTCTCACTGGATCCAGTAATCTGATGTAATATGTGGTGCCACTCTTGAGCAACTCAAAGACTCGTCGAAGTGTACAAGCAAAGACTTGTCGATCGGGGAGCATGTGGGGTATTTATTTGATTTGCAAAACAAATATTATGATATATGATGATGGAACATGTCTCACACATCTCGCAACACTGCAAGTGCTATCGCACACGAACCAGCAAGATTTTGTCGAGCAACGCAAACACCCACAAGGCTGAAAGAAACTCTTCATGCACCACCTCTTCAAAGTGGTCAACATCAACCTCCAAACCTGCCAGGCAGTGAAAGGGACTCACATACTTGTCAACTGGTTGAACCCAGATCCACGATGCTAAGTGCTGCACAACCAAGCAGCACACGCCTGCAGGGTGTTTGGGCACATCAGTCAAAGTAGGTTTTCCCCAAAGTCGGCCACAATGCTAGCTGCTGGCATTTCTTCCTTGTACGTCTATAGGCCTCGCACACTGACCTGCTATTCCTTTCATTTGCACCGCACGATCGAACTTGAGTCCAAGATCTGTTATCAAATGAAATGCTCTTGAATATATTTGAATGATAGATCCCAACTGCCACCACATCTGTTGCAAGCAGGACAAAGGATTCCATGTGACAACACATCAGCAAGTCTCCGCTCGAAAGGATGACAACATAACAGCCCACACAGGAACATTGAACATGAGGAAAACAAATGAAAATAGGAACTTTCTCAAGGGAAAGCTCGCTGGGCCCCCCGCCGAGCATGCAAACGACACTCACTAGGGCCACTTGTTTCAATGACCTCCAGGGCCAAGCGACACATCTGCTGCTGGTTGGAAGGGGTCATGGCTGCATGTCAAGCTGGTTGGCCGGGCCAATGCCCAAGCGTAATTGTTTGCAAGCGTCTTTGTTTGGTGTTGAGTTGCTCATCTCCTCTATATACAAATCCCTGGTTGTAACATAGCAAAACAAATATATAGGCTGTTGGCCCTTACATTGACCTTCTACAAGAGCAAACAAACGCGGTAATTGTAGAAAGTCTAAGATGTAGAATCCGATCGCCTTGCCTCAGTGATGCTCCTGGCAAGCAGATCAGCACTGCCAAACACACCTTGGACCACCACCAGTTTGCAAAATTTATCGCGTGCCCGTGCCAAACTAACTTGCTGGTTTTGCAGGAGGTGATGTCTCAATCAAACATCCTCAATTGCGATTCCCAAGCAAACTCCCGAGGCTACAAGCTTGGACCGCCCGTGGAGCTGGCAACGTCAAATTCAGAAGGTCCTTGGCACGAAGCAAAGGGCTGTCAAGATCAATTAAGCCTGAGCAGCATGGGTGTCTTATATACTGTAACTGCCATGTTTGTTCAATGTGGCGCGACAAGCTCACTCAAGTATAACAGATTTATGCTGGTGATACTCCTGCAACTTCATGTACCTCCTTCCCATTGGTGAATCTTGAGCAGTGTCCAGAACGAGAAAGCAAAGCTCCTACTCAAGGCAACAAACAGTCGAATTCAATTGAATCAACCTAAACATTGGTGCTTTGAGTCTTGAGTTGATTGCAAAACAACTAATTACACAACTACGACAATCCCAGGCTTACAAGCGATGCCATGTCCGGGCATTCGGACAACAATGACCATCAAATAGGAGGACAAAATCCCCAGGGTCAGCAGCAAATAAGCAGCCAAGACCTGGGAGAAGCAAGAAACATGTGGCCAAATGCAAATCTCCTTCCCAACAATACAATATCGAATTTTTGAAGGGCACAGGCTCTCCACACCTTGAAGAAGCCAGCCCTCGGGCATAACACACGAATCTCAATAATCTCACAATCTCAGCCAGTGTCTCAACTGTGATCCCCAGCCGCAGCCAGGCCCTTCTGCCCGAAGACATGTCTGGCAAAAGCAAAACCAAAAGAACTGCACCAAAGCTAGGGACGAGAAGACTGATGAATGGCATAGACTCGAACAAACAAGGAGCAAGTTCAAGTGCTGAACGAGCATTACCTAATTATATGCATACTCAACCTGCTCTGCTGCAACGCACTTCTTTGTTGTTTTACCAAAGCAATCAACAGGATGACTAAAACTAGCCCATGCAGTCCGTTCTCTTCATTGTTCAATGTCCAACCTTTCTACAGAACACTTTCCCGCACCTCCCCAATTCTGGGTAAGAGCACTCTTCCGAGCTTAAGACTGAATGACCTAGGCGAGGTTTTTTTTAAGGTCAGGAAGGAAGGGTCTCCGGAACCCCAAAGCCACTCCTACGCAATTCTTCTCAACGTGACCGCACGAGATCGCATACCAGCTCCTACGTTTCTTGATTCAATTCCTGTTTCCAGGCGTCCGTGCTCATCCAAAGCACCTGCCAATGACAGTCATGCAGATTTCTTGGCAAGAATCTACCCACTCTTTGCGATGAATGAACGACTGAACTCCCATCATTGTTGCAGATTGGGCGATTTACCTGAAACCAAGGAGGTTGAAAATCAAAGCCTTTAATCAAGGCTTCTACAATTCTACAATCATCACTGGTTGAATGTCGTTCAAGCAGCAAACCCTGCCATGCACCTGGAGCATGGTGTATCTGTTTGCCAAGGCTAAGATACCTCGTGGCCGGCCGAGAACCATTGCCCTTAGGGAGTTGCCACTCTATTTCTCTCTTTTTTTCCTCTCTCTCTCTCTCGCTCATCGCGCTTGCTCTGTAAATCTATATAATATGATATATATATAGACGGTGCCCCATCCCCACAAGCAGGTCTTCTCATTTCAAGTCGCAGTTGCCGCTGTGCGTGGTGTAGGGTAGAGAGTTGGCAACATCCTACAGGTGGCAAATCAGTCCCTATGTTTCAGAGAACCTTTTGTGCCATCACTTTCTGGCCCCAAGACACACACTTCGAGTATATTCTTTGGTGAGGATTTGCCTGAGCTTCACAAGCAACACTTGGACTAAATACACTGGAGATTAAATCCCAGCATTCTTGTGCAAGCATCGCGGATTGCCGAACAATTTCCTACACAGTTTGTGGTTTCAACCGCGCAGCTTCTGCAAACAGTTGGGCAATATTTGGAACCTAACAAGCTGCTCCCAGATTTCATAAGCTGGACAACAAGCTCCTCCCTGACGGCCATCTGAAATCGACCCCATTTTGGCTCCGCACCCATCAAAGCCAACCCTGAAATCAGCCCGGCATCCGCCATTGCGCGAGGCATCGCCAGGAGACCTAGTCGACCCGTGAGACTTTTGTCGTGTTTCACCGGTCGAATCGGTACAGAAAACAAACAGAAACAGGCGGAAACTGGTGGAAACCACTTTTTCTTTAAAATAGAATCGCTGATAAAATGATAAGTTGCATTCATGGCCACAAGCAGGGTCAATGTAAGCTGGGAAATAGCACAGATCATGTTTGCTATCCCAACTTAAAATATGAATGGATCAAATGAAGCAGGATGGCAACATCGGTGCCAGGACGGAAACATCATATCGTGTGATATGCCCTACAACTGTTCAAATGCCCTGAATCACCGACAAATGAGGGCTTCACATGAACTGAATGAACATGGCCACAAATTCCATAAACAGAGCCACATGCGTTTCAAATGCTACATCAATGTATCGGACTTGACTTTTGCTCATTCTGAGGAATTGGTCAACATATATACTGTAGATGTTTCTCGGACCAGCAATTCGTTCTGAGTCCAAGGTGTTGCCCTCACGACTTGAGAGCTTCCAAACATTCCATGGAGATTTGATAATTCGTTGGTCCTTTACTTAGTACAATCAATCTATACTAGCAAACTAAAATGTTTATATACAGGTATACTTTATAATCATATATACTATATATATAATCATACATATATATATATATCCAATGCAACTCGCACATAAATCCACTCCACTCTACCCTTGACCCGCATGGTCAAGAGTCGCGGCACCTGCTCCCAGCAAGTTGTTCAAGAGGTTGAACGTCGCCTGTGGAACCACAGGCGCCCGATGACCACGTGTCAAAATATGTAAAAATCTGAGACCGGCTTGGCATGATCCTCAGCAAATTTGAGAACATCTACTGAGCACATCTGAGCACCTCAAAGACGCTCGTCGTCGCTGAACATGAAGGGGAGTTGTGTACTTTGATGCCCAAGAATCAATCGTGAACATGAATGAACGACACTCAAATTGGGGAAATACACGTCCAAAGTAACCAACCATCTGAAGACCAATATGTTTACACATAATAATATCATGCATAATTTGGATTCTTAGACTCTTAAACGTCTCTTCTTGCTCTCATGATGACCCCTCCCTGCTTTGCGGCCAGCAATTAATTCGCGTAGCCCACTGCAAATGGCCGCCCACGACGATCACCCGTTGTGTGACAGTTTGCCGTGACGTGATGCTAATAATCTTCACCAGCTTGTGGCTGGTTAATTATACTAATTACTAGTTATGTACAGTAAAGGTGCCTAAAAAAAGACTCGTTGAGCGCTCCGGGGTGACCCCTAAACCAATCTTGCCCGATGGATGTCGAACTTGACTTCATCTTCCAACGGCAGCTGCAATTAGGTGTATGCGCATGCTTTTTAGAGTGAGTAGCTTGTAGCATTGTAGCCTGTACACAAAGAATTTAAAGCCGTAATTACCGGTCTTATGCGGAGTGTCCATACTACGTCCTCCTTTACAAGTATTGGTGCCAAATTGTAAGAGGCGTCACTAGCGCTGCACCGTTTTCAGCTGATCTCCGAGCTTCAAGCCATGCTTGAAACAAAAGACATGTTGCAAGTCAGCCTTGGAAGGGTCCCCGCTGGAATCTGGCAATGTTTGCTAGCGCGGATCTAGCGCAGTGCTAGCGCGCGGCTAGCGCATTTTTCAGCCAGCCACTTTTCAAAAACCTGACGACGTTCTGAACATGTCCTAAGGCAAACACTAGCGTCACTAGCTGCAAGTCTACCGCAAACCTAGCGCCCAGCTGCAGAATAGGTGTGTTTAGCTCGGGGCCCGCTACATAATCTAATTGAAAAAACAACATCATAAGCTACTTTCGACCCCTTTATCTATTTTTTTTGATTATAGACGTTTGGCCGGACTCCCAATATATATCCCCCTAGAGCCTTCCGGAAATTACCTACGCACGGGCGGCGTCGGAATGCACACGTGAGTGCGTCTACCCGAAAAATAGATTGAAGATGATCTACAATCATTCTTCATTCTCAAATATCTTTGCAGGAAGATGTGGGAAGAGATTCCCGCGAAAAGACGGATGAACTAATCCAACCCCCTGAGTTTCCTCTGTGAATCTTCCAATCCCCACCTGTTCAATTGAAATAATCCAATCCATGGTCCATGAACCATCCAACCCGCTCGATTCCTCCATTCAACACGCAACGACGGCCTCGCAACGGCTTTGCCGTTGACCCAGGCGCAGCAAAGGGTAGAACAGCGCCATACCTGGCTGCCTGAGACGGCGGGACGTCTGCAATGAACAGTTGGATACTGCTAAACACTCGGGTACAATGCACTACATCCTGAAAGGAAACAAATACTAAGACTTGCCAAGTAGACAAAGCACGACCAAAGATTGCAAGTTGGTGTTGTGTAAGGTATGTATTTGTGGCTTCTAAATACAGTAACACTAACGCTCATGGTTTTCGTGCGAGACCCCCTTCAACCCCCACAACACACCTTTCAGTGTCGATGCAAACTCATGATTGCTCAGCCCAGGTAGTAGAAGTTGTATGATTGTATTGTCATGTGGAAGCAGTTCTTGAAAGTGGAAGCACACATCAATGCACCAGGGACAAGACCTGAACTGTTTGGACATCTTTGAAGCATCATATCTGAAACAACTTAATTACAGCTGGGGATGGACACCATTGGGGAACACTCATGTTGGACCTTCCATGGCTTCTCAGGAGGTACTGTACTAACTCAGGTCTTTCCCTGCGAGGTTCAGGCAATTGTAGCCTGTCAAAACCACAAACCGGGGAGCGAGCCAGCGACTGGGTCTGGGCTGAGATTCACCTGGCAAATCGACCGTTTCGCAACAAAAGCACCTGTTGGATATGAAGGGTGAGACCGTTCATTGATGATAAACATTGAGACAAAAATGTGATTCAGAAATGTAACACCTAGAGAGGCATCACAGCTGGTTGTCTTCTACACAACCTTTTATGTCACCTAGTGCGTCATGTGGAAAACAAGAAACAATTGTGGGGCCATCCATGGCAAGCCAACCAATCTGCAGAAGCGAGCGGCAACAAAAGGCTTGATAACGGGGTCAGATCAAAGGACATGACTTGCCACCCAAGAATACTCCAAGTGCGACCCATGGCCGGAGCCACCTGCACATCTGGAGATGTTCTCTGTGGGAGCTTCCGACAATTCGGACAGTGTCTCCATGTCACCTGAAAGCAGCAGTGAATTTTGGAAGATGACTTATCATGCACCAGGGTCTTAGCATCACCTTGCTTTTAACTCTAAAATTTAGTTATGAAAAAAAGGTAGCAAGCCTGACAATATCTGGTTAATCAAAAGCGTCCAAGGAAACATCCACCTGGCTTATATGACCTTATGCAAACAGTAGTAGTCTCTACTCACCTGTCCTGCCCAAGCTAGCTGGCTTCTGTCCGCAAGCTACTGTACATATCAGAAGCTGCTCACATTGAGCAAAGTGCTGCACTAGCATGGAAGATGAAAATGTCTGGGACTTGGCTGCGTAATATTCAAGTGTAGGCTGGCTACAGCCTTACCATACTTGTCTACAAACACAGGTGCCCAAATCGGACCGCCTCCTGTATAGCGAGGTGCCTGCAAAAAAGAACATGTGGGGACCCCGTGGGCGACTGAACAATGGCTGGACATTTCTTGGCAAGAACATCCAGGACATTCTTGGAAAAGCATGCATACCGTCGGTTTCCGTGACTTGATAATGTAGGTTTTCACCCACGTTCCAACAAAGGAAATGATTCGTCAAAGAGTTCTGCGTACTGATGCATCCTTGACATCAAGCGGCCGCATGAGGCTTGATGTTTTGGGTACTGGCTAGTTACCACACTAACTACTGGCAAACTTACTACTGATAACGAAACCCTAAACCGCAGCTTCGCTTCGCTGGCTCGCCTCGGCCTCCTGTGGGTGTCTGGACCCCAAAAACTCTTGTGCCTCGCATGGCATCGTTCAACCCATTGAAACTGGAACAACCTTCCGTCCACCCGTTGTGTGGACCTACCCAATCAGCGGCAAGACATGTAAGTTGCAAGCGAAATGACCAGTCATAATATACGCGACTATATAAATATTTGATATATAATATGTCAAACTAACCATCTGTAGCGATCAAATGATCAACAATATACTAGGAAATTCTACTATCACATGATTTCGAAAGCTATTGCACATGCCATTGGACACTTTTTGTAAGCTACGAAAGAGCCCGTGGTTCATGGTTCGAGTTCTGGTGGGCGGCGCCTCGGGTGCAGGTTGTGGTGCAATACCTGTGGCAAGGATGATTTGAGATCTGCATCAAAGACATTCGGAGTACTCTGCTGTGCTTGGTCGCAGGGCAATTGCAGTAGCCAGGATGCACGAAGAAGATGACACGCCGTGGAACAGTGGGGCAAATTGAACATTTGGAAAAACAACTATATCATGACATGAAATCTACCAGTAGAGTTTAGTGATCAGCTTGAAACCACATGCAGAAGTGCAGAATCAAAATGAATCAACATATTATGAAACACTGGGATTCAGAACATCTGCCAACCTACAGCATGCGCAGCACATGCCTGCGCCTCCATGCCCAGTCAGGAGGCCCTCTTCGTGCCTCAGCAAGCCACTCATTTCTCCACATTTCTCAACAACCTATGTGTGAGGTTGTGGAAAGGAGCAAGATGAGCAAGCAAGCCATGATGTTCAGCAGGAACTTGGGATACTACTTGGGAATACTTGGGATATATTATGGTAGTTCTCAAAAAATGCTTCAATCAAACTACTAGCTGCTACACTATGAGTAGTACTGCTTGAATGATCCAACCGATGACAGCGCTGACAGCGTGTGACCTATCGCGACCTGGTCGTACTGAGCATGCCCAGCTCTTCTTCGGCTCCCTGAAAGAACACATCGACTCGGTTCACTCGTGCGTTGCCCAGGCTCAAGCGACGGCGCATGATGCGATGGACGTGAATTCATAGTGAAGTCAAACAATGCCATGAACTTAACATATTTTCTGGATCCATGGGGTGCTGGCGCTGGGCATATTGACGGAAAAAATAGAACAACTTTCAGGACCAGGGGGTGGTGCCTCCTCTCCTCCCTCGACAGCCGGCATGGCACAGGCGGAACAAAGCCAGTCGTCAAAGTGAGTGCGCGTGACGGGCACAAATGGCTATCCTTCAAGCCTCCAAGGGAAATTCTCAGATCATTTGAGATGAAGAACTGATGATGGTGGGCTTTTTCGGGCGTTTCCACTCACACATTGAGGTAACAGACCAGGCTGCACATGTTGGGCCTGGCACTGCGGGCCTGAAAAGAGAATGCTTATGGTGCGAGTACTGAGTATGTTTCAAGAAGACTTGCCCTCCAAAAATGCCTTTTGGATCGACTGTTGGTAGATCCATTGCAGGATGACTTAGATGGGCTCCTACAACCGAAGTGCTGTCAATCATGAACTGTATTCTTCTTTGGGCCATACTCAAATGTCTGCAGCTCGGCAGGAGGCACAGTGACGTCAATCTTTTGGAAGAAGCCTGGGAGGTGCTTAGCTGTATATAACGAGCTCCGAGCCAGCTCAATAGGTTTTGCTTCTGTCCAGGTGGGGGTCTATATATAGTATAATCTAGAGATCTCACAGGAAACTCGCTTTTGGTTTTCACGTTCTCTTGCAGGAATTCATTGAGTTGCGTGACGCCTTTCTACAAAACCCATTACAAAGCCAACGCCCAACTCTGCAGCTCCACCCAGCTCCACCGAGCTCGCTCCGTGAGCTCTGTCTGCCCGAGGTTCACCGATTGCCGATAGACGTGCACTGGATGATGGCGTGGCCGGCGACTCCTGTGGGACTTGGACAAAGGACGGGGCGGCGGTCAGACCGAGAACAAGCTGCTGCAACTGAGAAAGCAGATGTCAAGACGGTGAACGACAGGGAGCCATGCAGATCCATGCAGCATGCAACGTGATAAGCCTAGTCAAAAACAACTTCCCTCCATTTCAAGTCGAGTCGATCAGATCGGCGCCTGCACACACCACAAACCTCCGGCTCTGGCTGTCGGTAGAAGCCCCTCAGGTCGGCGAACGGGTGCGAGAGGTGAGAGATGGTTTTTGGGGGAACGAAACCATCAGGACTCGGAAAGAACGCCATCAAAACACCCTCAGAACACTGCTGGATTTGCCTGCCTGTTCCAGGTCTAGTTCCGTTGTGTTAATGATATGCTGACTACAAGTATTGCAAAGCTGCAGCCTAAACCAAATCTGGCTAAATATACTTGTAGTTACTTGTATAACTATATTTGTTCTTATCAATCATGTTTGGGGTCATCATGTTTTATTTTGTGGAAAGGCCGCACCTGTGAACAAGTAAGCTCCCAGGCCACTCAGTTCCATAGACCTCGATGGCTGCATGGAAGGCGCCAAACGTCTTCACCTCAAAGGCGCTCTGCGTTCTGCATTCAACGTCCATCTAGATTGGTTTTAACTTTAACATGTTCTACCAATACCTCATTTGTGGTACTTTTAGGACACCGATTGCTTCATACCGACACCAGGACCAGGGCCAAATATTGTCTTACTGCAGCACCCACCCTTCAGAACTGCTCCAAGATGCCATGGTGTTGCAAAGGAGGCTGTTTAAACCTGACCTTGGCTGAGCAAGGCTGGAAAAGGGCTTTGGTGACGAATATGTTGGATTTGGCAAGGAGATCTTGAAGTTGAACATGTTCATTTGTCTCCAAAAGAATCGTTTCCAACCCAGGGTGAATCTATGCTACCATCATCTACCATCTATACGGTTATGCGATCTATTTCAAATTTTGACTCTACTGACTCTACTGCGTGCGCCCAACCTTTGCATGACACGGTCAGCTGAAGATGATTGACATTGACATGTTTACTGCTTCCACCATTCCACCATCTCTCGTGCAATCGGCTACCATCCCGGGGCTAAGGTGTGGATTACTTCGAATGTCCTTTTCTTCGCACCAACTGGGTCCCGGCGTTGCAGGTGCCAGGTCATACCTGTGGTGGTCGTGATCACTGCCAATCAAGGCAATCTCAAACTGTACATTAGGCAAATTGTGGCACAGCTACAGGTTGAAGGGCATCACAAAAAAGTCACAACCCAAAACGCTCACAGTCTGGACTCATGAACAATTTACAGTATAACAATTTGGGCTCAAAGCATCAGTACGAAAGTAATCGGCTGTCTCAATACTCTGACCGACTGCAATGGCTTCCAAGGACTCACGGGTTTTGCCCGTCTAATTTTAACCATTCCAAGTGCTTCTACTACTGTGTCTGTGACTCTCTCATACATTGTGATATTACTGTTCGCTCACTTGTGTGGGCAGTCGACCAGGAAAAACATGGAAAAAACAACTGTATCTGGACGTGACTAGATATACGTAGAAATGATTTCCGAAACTTTGATTCTTTTATGGCGGCTACATACATCTACCCCTGAAATGAACCAAACCCTGATGCTAAGGCCAGAACACATTGAGGAACACCGTGGATGCTGGCGCACAGTCCACCTGTTTGCTTTCAGATTGGCCAGTCCACTGATTACAAAAGGACTCTTATGGACTCAGGATCCAAGGATCATTGTCAGGATCCAACCACCCCACACCGTGACCAGTGTCATCCAGTGTCCACAGAAAGAATGAACATCTCTTCACGGACTTTTGTTTCTCTACCTTCGACAGGGGGCTTGAGTAAAACTGCACCCAACATACCCAACCACACCTCCGCGCCGAAGGACACACAGGCTGCCAGGGAACCAGGGCTTGCCAACGCCTCGCGCCACGACGCGCCGGTCCAAAGTCCCGCTCTCATAGGCAACCCTCTGGACGAGGGAAGGGAAAGCGAATGGGCCAGGGAGTCTCCTCACTAAACAGGGAGTCACCCAAGTTCTTGAAAGACCCAAATCATCCCAAATCCATCGGCGCCGATGAACGCGGCGGTGACCTCGGTGGAAAGACCTGGCACGATGCCACACGTGTCGCGTCGCGTCGCGTATGACTCTGCAAAGAACTGATGCGCCAAGGCTATGACTTGGCGGGACTATGACTTGGTGCTTGGTCACTGGTGATTCTGGAATTCACGGTCAGGTGCATTATATATATAATATAAGTCAATACTTTGCGAGGGAAACAGCACCAAGCTTGCAGTAAAGACGTGGATGTCGCGACTGATTGAAAACCCCAAATGCACCCGGAAGCCCTTTGGCAGAGTGCATGGACGAAATCTTGCACCTCCTTGCTGACTGAATTGAACCTATTCACCCCTGTAGCCTGAAACCAAATTGGTGGTCCACTCCCGATTGATCCACATTGGATCCATGCTGATCCACCCTGGCGCCGACCTGGACTGGACAGATTGAAGGGATCAATCAAGGTCAACTGCAGTTGTACCTCTCAGAGATGCTCAAGGACTCCGAGGAACCCCCGATGTGCCCTATGAGGCAACGAACGGTCTTGAAAGTCTTCGCATTGAGACAATCTTGCCAGACCAAAGTGTGCAAAACCAAGGATTAACAAGCGAACAAGGCACCAAAAGGGTCATGCTGTCCATGAAGTCACTTATGTTTCCTCTAAAACGGTTAGGGTGTTGATGGTTTGAGCCGACCAAAGCACTGAATCCGACCTGACGTGGGCTCCAAGTGCCAAACCAAGGTGCTGAAGTCCCGAGGGCTCCAAACCAATGACGCGCCCCCAACGCTAACCATCGTTCCTCACAGCCGTCTGGGGTCCAAAGCCAATCAAAACCAGAGGTCTGAAAGCCAGCTGGATTTGGTGAGGCTAGCTGCTAGCTATTATTATCACTGGACCAAACATGACCTTTATAAGTATCTGCAAGTAGAAAGCGGATCTGCACAACGGTCCAGATTGAGGAAGTCGTTTGATCTCTTTTTGACTCGTTCATCAAAGAGAACCGGTGTCCGGTCCAATTGACACGGTGTCCGTCTCTCCGTCGGACCGGTCTGACACACGGTCCTCATCAATTGGACACCAGTCTACGTCGTGCAAACGCAACCTCAAGGGCTGGGTGACAAAGCCTCGCGCAGGAACCTGTGGTTGGGGTGCTGCAGAACCGAGAACCTAGTCTGACCATCATCGCACGAGGCTACTTGCAAAGGCTACATGCAAATCACGAGGATTCCATTAAAATTGCCAGCATGGAGTGCAACCCAGTCCCCAGTCTGGGTGAGAGAACCAGTCGCTTCCAGATGCATCTTCCTGCATGGCAGCGGATTCCCGACTCCCAATGTTTCTTTATATGTTGGGGTTGTCCTTAAAAGGCGTCTTTTTGGGCTGAATCCACGAAAACACGTCCAATCTGCGGACACGGGCGGAAATTAGCGGACAAAGGCAGAAATTAGCAGAAAACAACCGCAAAGGTCAAGGAACTTTGCTCTGGTTGCATGACGGATGTTGGATGCGGATGATTCTATTTACTACGGAGAGAAATGTCCATGCCTACTGAACAAATAGCCTTCTCAACTGCGGCACCTGTGGCCTAATATATATATATATATATGTATATACAGTGCTAGTACAGAAGTGATTAAGCCCGAACTGTTACCAGGATTCCTAGAGAAAGAAGTCACTCAATCATATCATGTCATATCTTAATTTGCACGTACATCACACAGGTCATACTCCCACATGACTGCCATGACTGCATGACTCAAGCTTGGATAGAAGATCTGATGTCAAGTACCCCACGGATGCCCGTGCCACAGTCCTTTGGGCCAACCGTGCAGCGGATGATCTGTCCAGATTCCACCTGCAGCGAAGTGCAAGATGATTTGTGAAAGACAAGGGACAGTGGTTCAACATGGTTTTAATCTTAGTGATACTTTTTAAACCTGTTTAATGATCGGTGTCAAACACTTACTTGATGTCCTTCCCTTTGCTGGAGTTTGGTTGGATGGATTGTAAAACCACTTGCTTGCAACAGTGGTACTAGGTGATTGCATCTGGAGATTGGCAATTTCCCGCTTCACATGCCATTAGTGTGTTTCTTCAGATTGAAATTCAAGACATCATACATCAAGCAAGGCAAAGCCAGCATACCACATTTAACCACACTTGGCTGTCAAAGCCAGCATACCTTGATTTAACCTACCGACGCAATTTGCGCATCATCCAAACGCTTCCCAAAGGCCCTTCATCGTGTGATGGGTGCCTGGGAGTAGGTGAAATGCGACCTACCTGGAAGGTCACGCCACATGGTGTTGGGGCTCCAGGTTTTGACCCATCCCTACTTCACCTCAACCTCGCCCCGCATTTCTAGGGCCCCAGGTGGTCCGGTTCTGTTGGGCGGTGCCTCCATGATGATCAAGCCATGAAAGGTGGTCGAAGACCAAGGCACCACCAAACCTCGGGCGCTCGAGGACCCACTTCTGACGGGTCCCGGTGACGAGGACGATGTGGACCCGTTTTGCGCGGGTTTTAAGTCCATGGAACCCACGATGTTCAGAAAGGCTAAATCTTCAATGCACAGTGGCTCATGAGGGGTGCCGTCTTTCAGGTGCAGAACATTTCCGTTTTCCAAGCGTGGCATATTAGGGTACCCCAGAGTTTTTGGCCACGCATCAGTTTCTGCCTGTCTTGCATCGCATTCTGAGGTGCTCTCCTTCCGCAGCTGCATCAAAGTGTGGCGGAATCTGCAGGTCATCGAGCAGAAAAACATGTGAAGCATGTCTGATAACACCAAACAAACATATATACCAATGATTAAACATGGAGTAATTAAGATATACTTTGAAGACTTTGACAGGTCAGGTGGTAGTTCAAACAGCCAAACTACAAGCCTACAATATAACAAGCCTAGAATATACCCATTGTTTACGCCTCAACAGGGAGTTTGGGATCACTCTTTTCCTCTAGGATCCTCTAGGATATGACCCGTTGCTCGGCCAATTCTTTTCATACGTACCTTTTCATAATGTTTTCACGGGTCAACCTGGTCAAATGGGTGATGCATGGCAATTGTGTCACGGGTCTCTTGCTTGGAGTAAAGTACGTGGCAGCATGGAGACCATGAAACTATATGGCAAAGCTTACCAGCTTGATTGGAACTCGGTTCAAGCCTTAATGAATATCAAAAAGAAAATGGTTCCAATACTCTGCTCATTTGGGCTCTGGCACTTTCCCAACCTCAGCTGTATCTGTAAGGTGTCTTTCCAACCGAACCGAATTTGACTCCAAAGGACTCCGACCGCGCCAGCGACCTCAAAGGAATCCTCCACCACTTCACCAGCAATGCTCGGGGAGCTGTAGAAGGGGTCATCCGTCTAGGCGCGAGTGACGAACGAGCAGTGGTGAAAGCGCCGTGGCGAACGGGCCGAGCGTGGCTGTGCGTTTCTTTAGGATGAAACCAATTTCACAAAAGAAAAAAGACGAGAAACTATGACACGCCAAGGGCAAGTGGGAGTGGCCGGTTGTTTTCACGCCCACCACGAAGCGCGAAAAGATCGATGCCACACACAAGGCCCCGCGCAACAATTCGGAAGTTTCGAAGGCTCAAGTTCCTGCAGGACAGTGGCAGTCTTCCAGATTCACCCCTGCAAAAGCAAAAACCCAGAACATGGGCTAAGGGGCGCTCAGGCCTTAGCCATGAGATCTGACCAGTACACTTGGTACACAGAAACGACTGAATAATGATGCTGAAGGTCCCGTGCTTGTTTGATTCTTTGATTCAATAAAACAGGTTACACTGATACTGCTCGTGCAGTAGTCACAGTCACACTAGATGTTTTTATTTACTTACTTTTTTAAGAGCTGCACTTCAGCAGGTTCTGCAGTGCAAACATGAAGATAAACACACAATTGCTTCAGTGCAGAACCTGCTGAAGTGCAGCTCTTTAAGAAAGAAAAACATCTAGTGTGACTGTGACTACTGCACGAGCAGTATCAGTGTATAATATATCTATAATATTATGCAATGTGCAACTGGATATAGGACAAATATATTACAGGGAGAGAAGCAACTGGAGATGTTTAATTTGATTCCAGCATGGAAATGATGGTAGATTCTACTGCTAGTGGTGTGTTGTTGTACACAACATACTTTCACGGTGGTCAGTGGGGGTGAAATTGAAAAACCGGAAGTGGGAGGAGCTGTTCTTTGGGCTTCGCTCCAAAGATGCCACATAGATCCCCATGAGTCATCACAGAAACCAAGGCATCGAAACCGAGTGAGCTGAGGCCCAACTGGCCTGTTTTGACGAAAGAAATCGCCCCATGATATTTACCGCCGTTTCTGCACGGTATTGAGGTTTATTAGGTCTGGATGCTAGATCTCTTTGTTTTGAGACGAAGCAACTTTGTCGTCAAATAAGTGCCACAGAAGAAGTTGCGAAGCTCAAAGCCTAGTTGCTTTAGGCACACAAAGTGGCCCAGCCTCAAGTGCACAATCTGACACACAACCTCAGTCTCGGTGCCGTCTGCCAGGAGCTACCCTTCATGACGATTAGCCTCTCCTTTGCGTCATCTAAGGAAAGCACAGTGGCTTCCAAGGTTCGTAATTTACAGAGTTTGGGTTTCGAATGAAGACGTGCATAAACGTCAATTCCTAATAATTATATTCCTTTCTGGTCTCGAGGGCCATCCAAGATCATCCAAGTCACCATTGAGCCAAATCTGAAGGCTGTACAGTGGAATCTCTTCCATTAGTGGCAGGTGCCTTGTGCTAGAGAAAGTGGTTTGCCATGTCGTGGATGTGATTTCATATCTTAGTCACTTCCTAGTCATCCTTTGTGAGCCTTGCGCTGTGTGACGATGTGGTCTCCACATTGCTCCATGATACAGTACGTGGTGATCGTGCTTCACCTACATACAAGTTTTATAATGTTTTATATGTTAAATCCAAGAATATGTGCATTATTGTGCGTCGTTGTGCTTTGCTTTTCAAGAAAGTGTTGCACAGGAGAAGCTCCGATCACGGAGGCCTCTCCAGGATCACGCAGCTTTGGCGTGCTATGAAACGGCTGCCAAACGTAGGAACAAGAACCAGCAAAAACACAACTAGGAACAAGAACGCTATTGGGAGATTACATCGGCCTAGTCTCGAGAAGAGTCCAAGGATGCCAAAGGTCTAAGTGAGTCTAGAGCTCTCAAAGACTTCCAATTGATATGGTCGGCTTTACTCTCATGTTGATTCCCCAAAACATTTTTAATTTTTGAAGTCGTTCAACGTTCCGCATGAAAGAGGACCAACACATCGCTGCACTGCGGTGATGTCTTCAACCACCGAGAGTTGGATCGCGGATTTAGGCCAAACCGATTCTGGGAATGGGCCGAAGGATGCCAATTTCCTCATCAGATTTGCGTTGAGCTGCAAGCTCTTTCTTGATGATCAATTCTTCGAACACAAAAGCTATATAGATGTTCGACCGGCCATCCAAAAACCACATCTGGCACATGATGGTGGAGAACTAGTAACACAACACAAAAAAGACCTTTTCGAGTTGGTGATCGCATTGAGTCACCTGTTGGGAATGACCGGCCTTTAAGCCGCTACCAGCAATGCATCAAAAGCTTTGGTTTGATCATGTTGGATCCGCAAGTCCGCTTGAAGAATGTCTAAGGAAGCTACGAACGGGGCTCCTGGCCTTACTACTACTAGTAGGAGCAAGAAGCGAGATGGGTCCGCGAGATGGGTCCCTGCGATCGACCACGTCCGCGCTGTTCGGTCCTTTCCCAGGTTGGCCCTTGGAGACTTTGCTCCAACGGTCAGGTCCTTAAGCCTCTCTTTCCGGTGTTCAAACGGTGCCGTTGTGTATATAGTGTTTGATTGTGTGTTGGTCACCTTGTGCCTGAAACAAACCATGAGGAAACTCTGCGGTCTTAAGTCTTGATTGTACCTCCTACTTGCTGCAAAGGAGGACAAAGGAGAACAGAGTCAGACAAAGTGTTGCAAGCAAAGGAGAACTCTGCACCAAGGAGTGAGACCGTTAAAATCGTGGCCGCTTTGTTCGCTTTGGAACGCTAGTGTCTTCCTGAGAACTCCACAGCGGTACCGTATCCTTCTGGAGTATCGGTCATATGGTAAGGCAGCTACATTCCCTTTAGAATTTGGAAGTCACGGTTTTGGAGCTACCAGGATTGATGCTTGATCCTATGCAACTACTGGCCACAAGAGGGTACTAGAGTGCCATGCCAAATCATCAGGCAAGCCCGCAGGATTTGCAAGGATTTGACAGGATTTGACAACCACTCTCATGGCAACATAGCTTGACAAATAATCCATTTCGCTGCGCTGTTCTGTGACCATGTTGTTAAGGTTGTGAACCCACCATCCCTGTTCATACAAGTCGCCACACTCCTTAGGCATCTGTTCGAAAGGTCACGTCCTTCCACAAAATCCCAACAAGGCAAGCCTATCAAAATGCGACTCAGCGTGGCTTCGATTCAGGCTGGGAGCGTCAATGTCTTCGTTTTCTGCTTCTGCGCCTCCTGGATGGGTTGGATGAAAACACGCACGAAAACGCACAACTTGGTTCGATCTTTTCAGAGGTTTCTGGGGTTCAGCGGTGGCGTGAGTTGTTAAAGGGCATTCCAGTTGATGGGTGGGTAGGATTGGGGTGAATTGGGTAGGTAATTATTGTAATTCATCTCAACCGGCTCCGATCCTGGTAGCTGTTCCGTTACGTTTAATTACCTGCCAAAACGACAGCCAGTCCTTGATTGCTGACTTGGCAGTGGAAACAGTGGCATTGCAGCAGTGAAGATGAATACCTGAGGAAAGCCACAGGCGCACTTATCATCGCCGGGTGACATGATTCGAGCAATCCACCACCAGAGATGGCCTCCTTTTTCTGCATCAATCCATCGAATTTCGCCCCAAGACATCGACCATGACGTTGTTCCGGTGCCCAAGAATCTGTCCAAAACCTCCCCCAAAACACCAACACCTCCGCCTCTTCTCACCGCAAAAAAACACCTGCGACGGGATCGAAAACGCCAAGGAGCGGTTGTTGTTGGGACAGCAATTGCCTTCGGTGAGGTTCACCGCCCGACAGGCCGGGTAGGCGTCGCAGGTCCTCCCATTCACCTTGCCATCGGTGTCAGGTGCCCACATCAGCATGTGAAAGAAAAAAGGCAAGACACATTGTAGTTAGTTCCTATAGTAGTTGGCATGCTGAGGCCTGTTGGATGCACAACATACCATGACAAACCAACCTTCAGCATTTGCATTCATTTGCATAGCATCTGATTGCATTTGTATGAATATCCTGAGGTAGTCCATAACTTGGTTCCCGTATGCTAATAACTTATGAGCATAATATGATTATCCTGTGAGCATAAACAAGAGATTCGCAAGAGGTTCTACTTCCTAACCAGACTAAGTACACTTATTACGTTTCCAAACAAAAGCACACACAGGCTGCAGGCTATTCACCAAGCCTGGAACCTGTCGGCCCCCTAAAAAAATAAGAAGCAGCTGTTCTTATCACCGGGTTGATGACAAGAGCCTCTCAGACCACCGGGTTGTGGTTTGCAGGCCCCAGGACCCAGGACCCGCCACTAACTGCGGTCGACCGACGTTTGACGCTCGAAGATACCTTTTACATCAACCGCCAAAGTAGCCAATTGAAAAGACGTCTTCATCTGACATCTGTCCTGATTCAATGTTGCCATTGAAAAACCAGCCAACGGCAACCAACAGCAACTGCTGCACCACATCTCTGGGCATCCGTGCCCCAATCTTCCTCCGAGCGATGGTCCCCTTGAGGCCGCCCTGCTCAGTGTACCGGGCATGGGCGCAAACTGACCGTTTGCCAAGTGCCAGGCTGAAACCGTTTTAGAGGAACTACACCGTTTTGGAGACCTCTGCAAATGATTTGATTTGCCACAGAGGTGTTTCATAAGGTCTAAATAAATCCTCCATGCAACGAAAAACTAATGCCATGGTTAGTGGGAGGTTCAAACGCGAGATGGTGCAAAGCCCAGTGTTCAATACGGTTCGTGAATATTCGTGGCCTGGCATGGTTGCCTTTGCAGCTACCATGCCACGGTAGGATTCACATAAAGAACACACGTGTTGCAAATAAACCAAGCAAAAAATCCTGGAATGTGCCCATTGGGAAGCCAAGTTTCGTTCCGCCATTAGACAGCGTTGAACATCGTTCAAAAGGATACAACCCTGTGAGCATAGTTTATCGTCCGGATTCGTCCGGAAAAGCCCCGGTTCAAGAATACAAGATAATAGTCTTTCCCGTGAAACGCGTTTCGTCCAAGGTCTTGGGCAAAACCATTGCTCGAATCGACGGTGGCTACACGGAGTCGAAAAGACACTTCACATCATTTTTGTGGCCTGCGATGCAAGCAAATACAGTAATCAAGCATAATCAAGTTCTTTTTTGATCAGATTGCCTAAGGGCGACAGAACGCAAGCTTGCCTACTGTACAATGCTTCTACGCAATTTTACAACAATGTCTTTGTGATGGCTGCCCTCGGTCCTCCTGAAGCTTGCCATGTATCCTCTTGTAGACGGAGACGTTGTTGTTGAACCTTCAGTTTGGTCTGATGGGTTTTGTTGCAGTTTCTGGTGGCTACGAACACAAATATGCTAAGCCTCCACAGAAATCTGCCCAAAGTATCATTATTAGTGCGTTCCTCAAATGTCCGCGTCGCCATGTTAGGCCTCCACATTGCCTTTGATATACATTGATATGGTCTGAACACGCTTGGATGAAAACCCTGGTTGTCCGTTGGATTGGACATCCACTCAGCGCTCACTAGGACATCGACTCGGCACTCACTGTCTGGCAGTGCTGGGTGAGGCGGCACCAGTTCTGCCCACCTGCTGCATTGCGTTGCACGGCGTTCTGCACTCGTGAGGCGCGCAGCTGCGCGAGTGCAGTAGTCTCTGGAGGTTCCGAAGTGTCTGTCCACGGGTCCCGAGTCCCGTCTCCTAAAGCTGTCCGGTCCACGTTGGCCACGAAACAGCTCTGGGACGAACCTTCGGACGTTGGGACGAACCTGATCGGCACCTTTTTTTTGGTAAAGCGTTGGAGTTAATGATCCCAATATTGCAAAGGGACAACCTGGAAGCACAGCTTCTAGAATGGGTGGCAGGCATCACAAATCAAGCGGTCCGAGAGCGTCCAGGCTATATGGATCGCATGCCAAGGTCAGGAAATTTATGTATAGGAATTTTGCTGTCAATGGAAACCGGTTCAAGGCGTTGAATGCATTAAGTGAGACACCTGATGATTGCATTCCCTAATCTGTGATCATCTGTGAAATCTGTGGAAATCAACCAGCAGAAGTGGGAAGGAATGTGGCCCGCGCCAGCAAAAACTGAGTGCACGTGGCCGTCGCATTACATACATGAACCAGGCCTGAGTGCCAGTAGCTGTACCAGCCACACTTCTTGTGGTTGTCACACCTGCCACTGCAGGTGTTGATTTCGCTGTGTTGCTATCTGTTTCAATGGTCTTCATCACGAAGCAATGTGAAGGGAGTACTTTATCAACCACCAAATTTGCCGAAAGCCAGCGTAGAAGTAGAAGCAAATTGAGGGTTAAGTGCATGCTACTTGAAACCAACAGGGCAAGAACCAAACTAAATGAGCAGTTTGTTTTATCCACGATCCGGACAACGCCGTCAAAGCGACGTAGAGATACACATCTGCAAACGGACTGATCGGAGGCTTTTGGCGCACCTCTGCTGGCACTCCTGCTGACCTGTGAAGCCGGTGCTGCAGAATATTGGTGCTCAGTTCTGAGCAGTGTGGCTCAGAAGAGCACCAATTCTTAAAACATCTCATTTCCACTCGATGAACTTGAGCTTGCAAAGCTCGTTGGGTTGTTGAAATCTGCACTTCTCACTTCAATTGAATACTATGTTCACCATGATGTACCACAAACCATCGCTGGACGGATAAGTCTGAGCAATCTGAAACCTCATCTCGACTCTCCCATACCCCGCACCTGTGGTTGGCCCTGCAAACATCGAGTGCTGGTCACAGAAGACGGAGCCTTGGCTCGCAGCAGTGGGTGGCGATCAAGCCGCAGACTCGAAAGGTCCAGTGAAGGAGGGCTGTCTGGTGCCTTTTCAATACTGGTTCCAGACTTTTCAAGCCCAGGCGTCCGTTGAGCTGTCCGTGACCAATGTGCCTTAAGCTGGTACACTCCTCGCAACCGTGACCAAACCCCCGGCGCCTGTAATGAACTCTTCCACATAGTGCGACAAGTCATCGCAACTTCTTGGGCCTCTGACAGTCCAATGAGCGTCGAGCCCAACCAGCTGACCACACACGAGGCCTGTGTCCGCCTAAGACTTGTGTCTGACACAGAAGAGAACACAGAAGAACGATGTGAGGTATTCTAGTCCAGCGAAACCATGTCAAAGTTTTGCCCATCTCAATCTGACCAAGATCTATGAAAACTGTGCAATCGAGAATGACAAGAAGCGGGTTGGGGCACCTGAGACAGTATTGGAAAAGCCTAGCCCCGCTGCCTGCAAAGTCTGGGAGCATCACCAGTGCTGACTTGACTGACAAACTCTGTCATGAAGGGTTGGACGGGAAAAGGAAGAACCAGGTGCATGGCACAGTCGAGTCATGCATATATGACCATAACAAGTTCCTGCTATTATAATCTACTATATAAATGTTTGAAGCTGTTTGTGTCTAAACTTGGCAGTCATTTCAACGCAAACACTGCAGAACAAAATAAAGCTTACATGCGCTGAAATAACTATGTTCATGGATCAATTGCCTTCAAGCCACTGCAGAAAAATCCCTACTTGAGAGTGTGTACTTTGAGGAAAACTGCCTAAAAGAAAGCGACTTCTTTCAGGGGCCAAAGTTACAATATTCAGCATGGAACACGGCTCTCAATGTGAGTGCTCAATGCAGACTGACATGCATTATCATGCTTTGGAAGCGTCCAAAGAAGGACATGCCATCAACTGGAGTCAAATGCTTTCAACAAAGTGTACTGACCTGCAGTTTTGAGAGGCTTGAGGTCAAGTAGCAGCCTCCATCGGGCCTGAGGACATGATGTGGAAATGACCTATTAGAGAGGTTCAGGCTCAGGATATGCTTGTTACAATTTAACAACTAAGTTTTCAAGCTTCCCAATCATTTTGTTCAGTGTGTTCTAGTCCCTACGCGGCAACTCAACCAACCCCACAGGCTTCACTTGTGTTTGTAGATTGAGGTTCTTGTATCTTGTTGCACCGCTGGTGTCGAACCAAAGCATGAGATTTATAGATTGCCTGATGCAATTAACATCTTTTAACCCAATTATTACAGTAAGTGTTAAGTATGATGCATGGGGGGCCTTGGAAGCATGACAAGGAGATTCGTAACCTTGCCAGTTGCTCGATTTGAAGAGTGCCAAATGTTGCAAGCATTTCGTTGATTCGTCCATGCATGTTGAACTTGCAAAGGAAAAAAACACTCTGCAGCAAAGCTCACTAGTGATATAGATTCACTAGTAACTAGTGATGTAGACATTAGACAGCCAACAACGTCCCACAGGTCATCGATCTATGAATCTTCTCATCGATATTCGAATCTGGGCTGTCCCAGCCAGTAGGTAAAATGTAAGCAGCCGTATTGGCGCTTGCACTTCTCCTGCGGATGGGATTTTCGAGGACTTTTGGAAGAAAAAGGGGCGCAAGCTCATGGTGCTGGTGGAAGAATCTTTCCACAATGATTCTGTCAGCAATCGTAGGTTAAACTGGTTGGGCAATTCCAAACAGAGTAGCACTCTTGTTCGGATCCATGTACCCTTGAACTCTGAGAGGAAAGCCCTGATCTTCCTCCCAAAACGGGCAGGTTAATAAGCTGTTTGAACGTTTTGAACAAATGTCTCAAACGCGGCACTTCCTTTCAAGCATCCGTGCCGTGCATCAGGATGCGGACATCCCAGGCACAGCACGGTTGCGAACTTCAAAACGCTTGCTGAGGTGTTGCAAGCTGGTCAGATCTGTTCCTGTACTGCCTTCAAGTCAACATAAGAAATCGCAATCCAACTTTTATCAAAACAAAGAACATCCCAATCCAAGACAATCATACATACAGCAAGTTCGTCCATCTCCACCGCTCCAAACCACCCACGATGTCGAAACCGTGATTCGTGGATTTGGACTGGCGAGTAGCTAGGAGCACACTCAGCACATGAGTTGAGTGACCTCAAAGCATGCCCAACCCAACCCTTTTGGAAATACATGGCCCCACAAAATACAACCCATTGCCTTGAAATTCTATCTTGAAACCATCTGAACCTGGCACGCGCCACCCAATTCCGGCCTGGCATATCTCTGCGCTGTTCTCTTGTGTGGGCTCAGTGTCTGGTATCTTGGCTGGATCTCCATAGAACACTCCTGCCGAGATCGGAGGTCTCAAAAAGGGCCCTTCCAGATGCCCTTTTTGTGGCATCCTTTGGCCCTTTAACATCGTAAACCATCTGAAGTACACGGTGATCGACATCGATTTTGGAATCCGCTGGTAGACCATCCGTGAAAAAACCAAGGAAACATAAGGACGCATGAAAAGCGTTCTCCTTCAGTGCGTGTCGTGCAACCTGCAGTCCTGGAACCCAACAAGTTTCCGGCTCAAGAACGAGCTTGCGCTTTACGAGGCCCAAGAGTTGCCCGAGGTCCACCTCAAACGAGTTCGCGTTTCCGTCGCCAAAGGAAGCGTTGCGACTAATGACTAATGGGGTTGTGGGCTGTGCATTTGAGGGTTTGTAGCTGGGGGATGCGGGAGTTGGGATTTCAAGAGTTGTTCGCCAGAAACTGCAGCTCAAGAGTCGTGATTTGGAGTTGGCAGTTAGGTGATTTTGAAGAGTCGTACAAGTCAAGTTTTATACTACATATATATATATATATACACACTATAATCCAAGCACAAAGAAGCCTGACTTCTTCCTGTTCCAAGCTTGATATGCCAAAACAAAATACATCCAACCTTCCTGAAACCTCCCACAGAAAAGTAGGGCAGGCACATGGCTGTGGCTAGGGAAAAGCTGCAAACAGTTGTGATCGTGGTTCCAAACGTAGAAGTCGTCCAGGAAAATGAGCAAACACCACATGACAGCGCCAAGATTTTGAACGAAAAGGCTTCTACCGACCCTCTCTTGATGTTCCCCTTCCTTTAAGGGTCGTTGGTCTTCAATTTGTCTGCCCCTGGCTAACATTCGCAAGAATGCTGTCTTGACAAGAATGGTTTCTAAGCTTAAGCTGGGGCGGTTGAGGTTGTGGAGTTGACGCCTCTCAACTGGAGCCTTTCCCTGCCCCACAGCCTCACCCTGAACTTGTTTATGAAGCGCAAGGACAGCTGCGCTTATGAGCCTGGGCCAATCCAGCGGCTGGAGTTTCCTCGCGATTACTGGAAGACCGGAACACCGGCTGGCATTGGTCCATCGTTCTCCTAGAACCCTAAAGTTACATAGTTGATCCAATCATCGGACAGCATTTTAAGCATCACCATCGTCACATATATATATATATATGATATATGTATAATATGTGAAGAACTGATCTTCTTGACTTCAAATAAATCCTCAGTCGACATGTCGCCAGTGACCCACATCTTGACAACCCATGGGCTGTGATCAACCATACACACGACAACCGAGAGCATGTAATGGAGTAAGCACAACTGAACTGAATGATGGTGGAAGAAATGCCTACCAGTACTTGTCAAAGGGATCTATTCTATCGCATAGCTGAAAATCTGGGGTGTACGCCTCCACGCAATTCACAAAAGTGCAGTTGCAGCACCCATTGAACACTTCACCAACACTTTAAGTCTTTGCCGAACTTGCATGTGATTTCCATGTTGATCCAGATCCTTAACACAACGCAGAAACGAACAACAAAAAGCATCAAAATGGGTCGGCCAGTTTTGGGTGCTTCTCCACGCCGCGCTGCGTGCACCTGGGGAAGCCCTAGGCTTTGGAGCCATCCCCAAGTTGATGAAATTGGAAATGGATGTGCCCCACCCAGGCTTTGAGTTGAATACACCTCTGGCATCAAAATCAACCTGAGTCAACTTGCCTGGGCACAGCAATATGTTGAGAGTGAAACGAGACCAACACACAAACTCAACATGATGGGTTATCATACGATAAGGCAGGTTGCCGCCAGTCTAGCCAATTGAGAGTGAAACAGGATTGGTAACATTCGTGTAAGGGTTGCCACCACGAATGGCTTCTGGAGCCTCAAATCCACTGGCGCATGCAAGCGCAACTGCCTCGTCTTGGTCAACACCATCTCCACTCACACCCACCGCGCCGATGAGCTGTTTCTGCTGATTATACAAGGGAATGCCTCCAGGAGAAGTGATGATCCCTCGTGCATCCTTCAACGCCAGCGGCCGATTGCTGTCAGCGATGCCAAAGAATGGCTGGCCTTCACCCGCAAGTTGCCCAATAGCCCTGGAAGTAAGGGCATTTTCGTTGGAACTGAAGCCAAGCGCTGTGAAGGCCTTCCCTTTGGCCATGTCCAAGCTGCCGTACCACGCAGTGTCTGCCTCAGGGGTGGAGCACTTTCAGGCCTGCAATGATCATGCTTCATCATGCTTCTGCTTCTGACTTGCTACAGTGTCTTGTGACTTTCTACAGGATCTTTATTGCCACCGTCCAGGCGATAAAAGCACAACAGCACTCAAACGCTCCTTGCGAGCTCCAAGGTTCACAAGGGGAACAAAATTCCATGGATCTTCGCGAGGCATAATCACTACTTGCATGACCACTTTCATCGGGACACCACTGGCATTCTTTCGGAAAGCAGAGTCAATCATGGCCACGGCCGCTTCGCAGTTCTTGGCAATTTCAGCCCCTGCTTTCATCGACAAAGATGGCACCACCTGTGGGTCGAACAGCGTGGCTGAGTCAACTCTCCCCCTGAGTACTGTGAGATAAGTTACAGTACTACGTCCACCTTGGTTGACCTACCGGCGATACTTGCGACTGTCTGAACGCGCATCTCAGGGTCCTTCTGCTCAGCAGTGTACCCGGGGTTTTTTGGTATATACCCTCTACATGTCAGGATATGAACAAAAATGGGATACTATACAGGTGAAACCGAATCTCCGCGCTGCATGAATGGATAGCCAAGATTGGTTTCAAGGTTGTAGCGTCAAGCTACATTGGTGTTGGGGCTCCAGGTTTTGACCCATCCCCATTTACCTCAAATGGTATGGCAAATCCCCAGCAGTCCTCGGCATGAGGCTTGGTGCGGGCTCCATTCGCTTGCGCACCATTTTCTCTGGCTTGCAGGAAGGAATATTCATCACACACGTCGGTTGCAGTTGCAGCAATGGAAGCAGCAGCAAGTAAGCACATCAGGAGTCTCGTTGCCATTGATTGCAAACTATGACACAAGGCGCCACAAACACTACTTACAGAAGGCATCCATGCATGCAAAAACCAAACAACTGGTCAACGAAATCCATGCAAGGTGCAGCGTGCATTATTGTGAACACATGTGAAAAGTGAAATAGACTCAAACACCACGTGTCATCCATTGTCATCCCACATTGCAAAAAAGGCAACCAAAGGCAACCTGTTTCATCTAATCTGGCTTGATGATTGAAACTATGAAAAGTGTTGACAATGTGTGGACGTGTGGATCAGTCTGTCAGAATTGGTAAGGTGCAGCTAGGAGCAACATGGCAAGTCACTCACAACTAAAACATCAATCTCCATCTCCATGGTGTGATTTCTGTTAAGCCATGGTCATCATGGTGCATACACGAACGCCAGTTGAACGCGACACCCCTTCTTCCAGAACTCACTGTGCCCGGTTTTTCTCCCCTGAGCGTGTGGCGCCAAGGATGTGACAAGAAGTCGCCAACGACGGCGCAAAGGCTGTGCCGTCTCCTGCGGAAGACGTGGAGGCTGATCATATGACTTAGTCACTGAGTGCGGCGGCTAAGCATGCAGCCCTTCACGTGGGCGCCGCTGGAAAACCTCGCCTGCACCTTGGGGCCTAGATGGCGTAGAGAGGGATGTGAATACTTGTTGAAGGGGTTGAAGGGCTATCTAGTGTTAAAGTCTTTTTTGCTTAGTTGGTTTTGAGTGATCTGCGGGGCGAGGGCGAACCCATTCCGGTCCTTCGGGGTCCGGCGTTTCTCCGGGTTTGGGGTTTATTTTCTTGATTTTTGCTTTGCATGGTTTATGGGGAGAACGGGAGCATGCGACTCCTGTCGGTTTTGGTTCAAGGGACGTTGAGCTTCCCCCCGCGGGCGGCTCTTCCCTTGGCGACCGGCAGGGGAATACGGTAACGTGGTTGACCCTAACGTTATCGTGGGTGAGCTGGGTAGGCTTCTTTGCGGGCTGGTCTGTTTGGGTCCTACGGTGTCATCCCAGAAGGTTGGCCAGTTTGACGGGTGTTCTGTTGAGAGGTCGAGTCCACCATGGCTAGGAAGAACCGTTGGTGTGGGGGGATCAGCGGCTGTTTGTCTTGCTCATGGGGAGAGGCATCTGGCACAAGCAATGTCACAGCCCTCATATGTAAGTAAAAGTAGGGTGCAAAAACGAAGATTTCGTCAGCAATTTAGATTACAGGCTCGGAGGCGAAAGTTGGCCCAACTTAAGAAGTACACTTGTTCAAACAGAGCTCGGGAACGGCGGGTTAAGCTTTTAGCTGCCCAATGCAAGGCGGCCCGTAAGTTGAAGCTCTTGACATGGAACACCCGGGGGTGGGGGGGCGGTCTACTCGCAGTTTGATCCTGTGGTACGGACCCGGAACATGTTGGATTTTTTGGATTCGAAGGGAGTGGGGCTTGCGGTTCTTACTGATGTTAAGTTTCCTGTCCAAGGACTTCGGAAGTTTCAGAGTGAAGCACAAGCATGGATGGTTCTACGGGTATACCAGCCAGGCGCTAGGTGCCCGGGCTCCCAAGTGGACGCCGAATGACAGCTACATGCTTGTCAACAGGTGGCGGGGGTGGCAAGGGCGGCAAGGGCCGCAAGGGCAAGAAGTAAAGTGCGCTCTGGGAAGGGGCTTGTGCATATTCTCCAGTTGTCCATACACACCTTTTCTTTTTTTCTTTTTGTTTATTGGCCAACGCCTTCGATGCATCCTGAGATGGAGCATGTTGGGGTCAGATCTTCCATTCTCAATTGTTTTTCGTGGATCCGTTGTCTTTGTGGATTTTGATGAGTTGTTTAGTGTTATGGTACACCCTAACTGGTTGTGGCAAGGGATGGCCGGTGCGCCATGGGACTAGTTTGAGGTTTGGCGGACATGGCGTCTTTGCTTTGGGCCACCTACACCGCGCTGATCTTCTTCTTCTAGTCACTGAGTGATGATATAGCTGGATGACTTCTTCCACTTGTACAGACATGGGAGTTCTAATCAAAGTTGCAATTAATTTGCTAAGCGAGATGAAACTGAAATATTAATATAAGTGCTCCGCCAGGGATGGAAGGTCAACTGGGGGCTCAGGACTTACGGTGTAAGCAGGCAGGCATCGCAGCATGCTTTTTTTCTAACATATTAACTTTTCAAGCAACATGGACAGTGACAAAGAGGCTGGCCATCATTTCACTCTCCTCTCCTCTTAATTAAAAAAAAACTTTCCATGTGCATGTTGGTCAATGGATGGTTTGCACTCCAGTGCAAACCTATGCAAACAAAACAGCAGCCATGCGCCGTTCCAGGCCGTGCCAGGCCTGGTCCTTTGCCAAAGAGGCCTCCTCATCCGTGGTATCCATGAGTGTCGCGCCTCCCGTAGCAGGGATGGCCACCGGTCTCATTTCCATGCCATCCCTTCTAGGTGACTTGCCGTATCTCGCCGTCTGACTGCCAGGCGCACCTGATTAGGCCAAAGTTAGGGACTTCGAAGCTGGAAAGAAGCTGCGAGGCACACAGCGACTGGTTCGGTCGAGCGACGATTCCTCAAGGTTTACTGACTCAAAACCCCCAAGAGAATGGGTCCTTTACAAAGAGAATGTCGACTTCTGGTTTATGGTTTTACAGTTTTACCCATGACCAAGAGTCCAGTCTGTAATATAAAACACTTCATTGAAATGGCCCAGCAATGCGATGACAGTCCCTTCAGTTAAATTCAATGGAATCCAAGACCATCTCTGATTGACCCATCAATGTGATTCGCACAAACATATTGGGCTTGGTTAGGGCTCAAAGCACAACAGGAGGGAAGGTTCCGGGACAAGGTCACGTCGACAACGATGTCCATCTTTTCGACGGCCCCGGCGGTGCAGTTCACTCCGACCTGTCCCAGCTTACACAATCTTGAACATCTTCACTGGGATGCCTCTCATGCGGACGGTCTTAAGCAGCTCGGTGCACGACAAAAGCGGTGCAGAGTGGGATGCCTCTCAAAATGTTAGATTGGCTTCAGCCTGTCCAAGCTTGCTTTGATTTCTCATGAGGCCAAAGCATGAATTCTGTTCTGCTCTATATTGAAGAACGCGTCGGCTTCCAATGCCAAGGATCTCGACACAAGGTTCGTTTTGTGAAGGTTGAATGCCCCAAGTCGGTTCCATAATTGATGCAGGACATTGCATCGATGCGCCAAAAATACATACATCCGCTCAATTCCAGAGACTACAAACTACAAACACACCTATCGCAAGACAGGTGTCACTCACACTGTTCACTGTAAGGAATTTTTGCATCCCCTTCATTTGCTGCGCAGAACCTTCGTGATCATCCATCACTAAATGGTGGGATGTCGGAAGTGGAGCATGAGCACATTGACTTCCATGAGAAAACCGTTCAACAACCCTTATCAAGGCAAACCTGGATTGGAGTCTCTGCTCAGTCAGAAGCAAAGGCCCTCGTAGAACTGGCACATCACGGACAGTATCATGGAGCATAAGCAAAGCAACTTGTGATTAGACAAGTCTCATTTGTGCTGCTCACAAAGCAATTTGGTGTCAGCTTGCTAATTTGTCTCACATGCCAAGCGAAGCCGGGAACCCTGCCAGGTCAGGTGTTGCGCATCAAGTTCTTGCGGCAGTTCATTCGGCAGCCTTTCGAGATCTTCGTCCCGACGCGTTTCAAACGCCAAGGCATGCCAGGGCGTGCCGCATGACCAGCACTTTGTGGACAATAGTTACAATAGCTTAAAATGTCACCCGGCTAAGCAAGCTGAGTGCAAACTCGCATCACACACAGTATTCAACATGGCAAGAAGGCCTCAATCTGTCCACAAACAAAGGTATCTTGACTGCAAGTAAAAAGTGCAGGAAAAAAAGGTTTGCCAGTCTGCCTTGCCACGTATCCAACGGTGAATCGAGGATTGATGCTGTTCACAGAGAGGATGGATTGGACACGTTTCCAAAGCAAAGTTTCTTCAGTGTCTGAGCCTTCTGAACGGTTCGAGATACGTGGCTATGAAGAGCTCCAAGTTTTGTACACGAAAAACATCAAAAAACATAGAGACGGGGACACTTCAATGTCAAAACGCCTCAACAGCAATGCCAACTGACAGGAAAACACTCGGCCAGCAAGCAAACCAGGCGGAGCGCCACTTACTGACTTAGTGTCCCCCAGCAAGAAAGGCTCTTGGCAAACCAAAGATGCTCGGCAATCATGCTTCCTTTCAGACTGGATTAGATAACGTCAACACACACAGCAGTGAAGACGGGAAGTGTCAAGCATGGCCTGCCTTTGCAAGCCTGTCGTAACTTGCACCTCCTGGACAACAGACTGAGGCTTCACAGCAGTTCGATGCATGAGGCTGTGGCGAGCTCCAAGTTTTCAACAGGAAAGCCATATTAATCGGAAGGCTTCCATGTCAGAACGCCACAGCAGAGCAATCTGACAAGAAAACACTCGGCCAGCAAGCAACCAGGAGGGGGTACCACTTACTGACTTGGTGTCCCCCAGCAAGAAAGGCTCCTGGCAAACCAAAGTTGCTCCGAAATATTGCTTCCTTAGAAACTGGATGAGATAACGTCAAAACACACAGCAGTGAAGACGGAAAGTGTCAAGAATGGCATGCCTTTGCAAGCCTGTCATAACTTGCACCTCCTGAACAACAGACTGAGGCTTCACAGCCGTTCGATACATGTGGCCGTGGAGAGGTGCAACATGTGCACAGGACATGCATATCAACCGGAAGGCTTCCATGTCAGAACGCCTCAACAGCAAAGCATCTGACAAGAAAACACTCTGCCAGCAAGCAAACCAGGCGTGGCGCC